TGGGCAAAACGTTGACCCAGCTGACATACAATACATAGGTGAAGCTGACACTCGAGCAAATTTGATCGAGGTAAGTTCAACAGGAAAAATCTTATAAATAGGCCTACATAAATAATGGTTACATTTGGTGAACACAACCTGCCAACTTAATAACACGTTTAGAGAACGGAAAAGGTTTGTTTTTCTAAAAAATCGTGCCGTCTCATGTCATCTTGAAAGGAAAAAAGGAACAAATGATGCAGAAGTATAAAGAGAAAAGTCACTAAACTGTCGAATTATTTTCGAAGTGATTTATTTGTTGAAAACTCGCGGTTGACCACAAATGAGAGGACTTTTAGTAAACAGTAGGCATATGATCACAAAGATTAACCAAACATGCACATTCTAGGGTTCAGCCAATCAGAACTTGTGGGCAGTTCAGAAAAGAGTGCAACAGGCTCAAAGGCTTTGAAAGAGTGGGATCAGCTCAATCTTATAAGACGGTCTCACAAAAGTTTCAATCATGTGACAGATCAACCAATCATAACACAAGAGGCAAGTTTCATGGAAAACAAGCGGCACGTTTTAAAGTCTTGAGATCCTTGGGTCAGGAATTGCACCGACTTAACACACACTGGGAAAAGGAATGTTCTTCAGTTCCTGCCCATCGCTGTTGCAGAGAAGACACACAATTTCAAGTTAGTTAAATGGCGGCCCACATGTTGAACGGTGTTGTCAATCGCTGCATATTGAATTCCATAAGCAAGGTAAATGCACGCGATCAATGCGCCCAGCCCCTTGTCCATCCATGAATTCTGAATTCTGACTGGATGGCACAAGATTCCCAACAGCCTCCCGTAAGGGATAATTATAACAGAAGTGGAAGCACCTCGAGAGCAAAGAAGCTCCCTTCACCAAAGACACATGCAGCTGAAAACGACTCCGACGAAAGTATTTGGGGTTTTCAGTAAAGTAACAACAGCGGAAAAAAAAGTTGCTAGAAGTACAGGGTATTTTCATAATGAAAAGTTGATATAGGCAAACGAACAAAAGCTCAAGTACGCGGGGCGCTGCATACACACACCACAGAACACACGTTACACAACAGGCGCGCATTTGTATACAATGTAAGGCTTTGGTACTTAACAAACTTGCCAGCAACTTCAATATTTGTGGATCGACATGGACCTGGATAAAGTCCTTTCTAATAGGTCGTCAACAACGAGTTGCGTATCGGGGATGCTTCTCCGAGTGGGCACCAGTTACTTCAGGTGTTCCTCAGGGCAGTGTTCTTGGCCCCCTCCTGTTTAATTTGTTTATTAATGACATTTCTCATGACTTATCCACAAACTGTGCACTCTTTGCGGATGATACACTCCTCTATCAGCCAATCCACTCACCCCAAGATGAACTCACCCTCCAGTCGGACCTGACTGCACTTGAACAATGGAGCAATCTCAATGGTATGCAGCTGAATATCAAGAAAACCAAGGTCATGCACATATCCAGATCCCGGAAACCAGCAGTTCTTCCAAGTTACATTCTTCACGGTCAATCGCTCAATGTTACACCTACATTCAAATATCTTGGGGTAATCATCAACGACTCACTGAACTGGAACGATCACGTCGATGCCACTGTCTCAAAGGCCAATAAGACATTAGGCTTTATCTGGCATATTGCAGGTGGTGCTTCAACCAAGGCCTTGACATCCCTCTATCGTTCACTTGTCTTGCCCGTACTAGAATACGGGTTGCCAGCTTGGTCCCCATTCACAGCATCCAATGCAGCCAAACTTGAGAGAGTGCAGAGAAGGGCAAGTAGAATGTGCCTCAAACAGCCCAAAGGTGCAATGTCATATGAAGACAGATTGCATGCTTTGAATTGGATGACTCTAGATACACGTAGACAGAAGCACATAGTTTCCTTCACAGTTAAAGTCCTGTTTAACTTAGTTGACTGCCAATCAGTGAAGGCCAACACAGTAGTGAACACTCGTCACCAGGATTGTCTCACATTTAGTCACCACTATGCTAGAACTCAAACCCTGAAAAACACACCTAGTCATGTCTTCCCCCGAATCTGGAGTAGTTTGCCATCGCATGTAGGGGACTCTCTATTAATTGATTCATTCACACTGTTTAACACCCGATTATCCGCCCATTATTATGAGTGTTAAAACCTTGAGCTGGAAATAGGCTCCCCCCCCCAAGTGTTTAACTCTTTTGATCTACTTTAATCTTTTTAAAGTAATTTCATGTGTATATTTTTCCACTGTAAACTGTCATCATTCTTTTATTTCATTGTTATTTTATTTTATATTATTTTCCTCTTTTGTGGTTAAGTTTATTTATTTATGTCTGAAATAATGTTGGTTTTCAGGCCTATTTTTCCGGTTGCTTATCATTTATTATTACTTGTATTTATTTTGTTATTGATACTTTTGTTGTTGCTTTTCTTGTTCATTGGATGGATATTTTTTTTTGACGTAGTTTTTCTCGCATGTCAACTGTATTTTTTACTTTTCTCTATCAGGTTTTTATTGCTTATTATTTATTTTTTATTTCATTTTAAATTATTTTGTTTACTGTATCAATCTTTCGTTCTGTGTTTTTATGTTGATGTGTGGTTGTTGTTGTCTTGTCTTGTCTTGTTTGTTTGTTTGTTTTTTGTTTTGTTTCATCTTGTTTTGTTTCGTTTTGTCTTGTCTTGTCTTGTCTCTTGTCTTGACTTGTTTTGTTACATTTTGTTAAGTCTTATCCTGTCTTGTTTTGTTTCTTTGTTTATTGGGGTGTTTGTTTGTTTGTTAGTTTTGTTTTGGCTTGTTTGTCTGTTTTTTCCCAGTCTTGTATAATCTGCAGTTGTTAGGTTTTTATGCCAGCTATTCTTGCCTATGAGAAAACTGTTGTAACTGTTAATCTTTTAAATCTAATTATCTTTGTTAGTATTATTTTTAAGGCGGTCTTATTTTTCATTGAATTTTATACCTAATTTTTAATATATTTTGTATGTTACATGTACCATTCAAGTTAGGATTGACAGGCTTTCGAGTCACAGTGTTTTATTATACTTTTGTCAATCCTGGCCAGCTTGGATTGGATTGTTTTTGTTTAGTTTTGTTTACTTTTGTGAATCGCTTGTTGTACCTTGTAATTTGGCCGAATAAATAATAATAATAATAATAATAATGTACATAATAACTAATCAAAGCACTGACGGGCTATATTTTTTTTCAAGCCAAAATGGTCGTCGGAATTTATTGTCCAATTAGCATGTTTCTTATATCAGCGTTTAGAGAATTTTATCAACTTTATGAATGTCGTCAGCCCAAGCTTGTTGAACTTTTCATTTTGACGCTGTAGTAAAAAACGCCTGAACATGGGTGCTAAGAAACTAGTTTACACTTCGTGGATGTGCACTACTGAATAGGAGCACAAAGCATGGATGTGTTTTTTCAAACTAAAATGGTTTATTGGCCGAGCACTGTCAATGACAAATTTCATCCCTATAGAAAGCTGAAGATGTCTTCTTTCATGTTCTGATCACCACAGATTTGTAAGTTGCCTATTTTTTAAGATATGCCTGTTTTGGTCTCTCAACAACGCACGCGCAAACATACTGAGCGTGTACACCCAGTGTTGCGATGAGCAAATGTTTAAAACTTTTCATTATGCTTAGGGTTCTTGGATGTGACGGTCAGCCGAACAGAGTCAGCCCAACCAGTCAGTAGCCGATGGTTCAACTGAACAACCCCAACATCATAATGAGCCAGTAACTGATGCTCCAACCAAGTAGCCCCAACAGCTGTATCAAGACATTCCCCACTAACTTTTACAGGACTGGTAATAAGCATTGTAGAAATTTCAAATGATAACATGAGTGACATAATCTTATTTTGAATTTTTAATTATCAAAGGCATGCCTAAAGTAAATCACAGAACAAAGGGGCGAACCGTAAGTCAGTTCATAGTGTGAAATACATGTCTAGTACTATCAGGGGTACAACCAGTCAAGATTGACCATGCAGAAACACTGTAATCAACTTCCGAACCCTAACCCCCTAGTAGTTCCTCAGGACTACCGGTATCCTGCTAAATCCAACAGAGTCCAACCGGACTTTCCTGCTCAATCCACTGTGCCTCATTTTCAGTTGTCTGCTGAATCCAACGGAGTCCAACATGGCGTTATAATGCCATTCAGTTGCCTGCTGAATCCAACATTTTGCATCAGGAATGTACACAAGGGGTTTACTGCTCAATCCAAGAGGCTCCATCGGGTATAGTTGGATCCTGTTGGATTCAGCAGGGTTATGGTTAGCTTAATTCAAGAAGTGCTGCAGACTCAGTCCCAGTTCCCATCTCGAAGAAGCTATGCATGTACATGTACTTTGCTAATTTGCATACAATACACAATGTAGTTTCAGAACAAACTGCAATATAAAAATCAAGGGCCTGAATAACGGTAACGTACCGTACTTGTATGCAGCTCAACTATTCGCAAAAGTATTAAAATTTTATGACAAATACCAAGGGAGCGCTTGCAGCTGAAACCAACCGCAGTGCAGCAGCAGAGCAGAAGTGGGCCATGCGGAAGGCTAGAGCGTCAGTCCCGACCAACACACCACCAGCCCATACGTGTCCCACGTGTGGGAGGACTTTCCAGGCCTGGATTGGCCTCATTAGCCACCTCCGGACCCACCATTTTCTTCCCTAGACCACGAAGCCATGGTCATCTACGACTACGTAGGACGAGCAGAACTAAGTCTTACCGAATAATGTGTTATTTTCCAATGACTGTGGGCAAGCTTGTAAATTTTCAGTTGAAAGATCACCCTGTCTACTGAAGTTCAAAACAAGACTTACCATCCGACAACTAAGTCTTACTGAAACAGGATTTATTATTTTTTCCATGCTTTTCTATGACCGTGGGAAAGCTTGTAAATTTTTCGTTGACAGATCACTGTCTACTAAAACTTCCAAACAAGACTTACCTGCCTTGAAGCAAGGAAAGTAAACAGCTGAGTTACATGCACCAAACCTGAACAGAGTCATGGGCTGGGAAGGCTGCTACATCAGAACAGGAACTGGATAGATGTAGGGACTTGCATGCAGCAACTGAAATACATGTTGAAAAAAGAAGGGATAACAAACAAACAAATTAAACATCATAAAAAATTAACACGGGTAAAGAACAGATTTACTTAAACAGGAAAATGGTGCTTGTGCCCATGGGCAAGACAGTTAACTACAATTGTCTCTCTCCACCCAGGAGTATGAATGGGTAAACCTGTGAGGGTAGAGGACTGAATGTGAGCTGATATCAGCTGCCGTGCATTGAAGGAACATGCAAACATAGGCCAAGATGCAACATCACAAGTCCTAAACAGGAATGTCCAATGCAATGCTTGCATTTGGAAGCTTAAAGTTCATGGACCAAAGGAAAACACACATAACTTGAGCGTGTTTCATCTCTTAGCCAATTCAAGGAATCCTGTCCATCTCATTCAAATATCTCCTTAAGAAATGGGATCTCAAACTGGCACTAAAAATAAGCAGGAGTGTCAATCAAGAGAAACAAAACTGAGGGAGAACATTGACTGATTTTGAATATCTCTGGGATGCAAAAACAAAAATTTCAGGGGGGTGGGGGAATGTGATTTTATGAATGCTTTTCCTGTTGAGGTCATACGAATCAACACACTTTTGTGCTTGCACAGTGTACTACCAATTAACCTTTTAATTCTTGTGTTGGCATTTTGTCACTATTTTACCTCAAATTGGTCACAAAAAACCTACTAACCCATTTTTGAGACATTCCTGCTTGGTGTTCAACATACATTGTAGCCGTAAGACGAGTCAAATATTAAACCTACATAACCTTCATTTGTAAAAATTATTTTTTGTACTCGTAAGTCTAAAATATATTTTGTTTTAAAAGTTTTTCATCCCTGCCTGCCCTCCTTTTTCCCGCCTGTCTTTACAAAAAGAAATGAAATTAACACATTTGCAATATATTGTCAATATCCCCAAAATTGGGGAGAATGAAATGCCTGCCTCCTTCTTTGTTTCATCAAAGGCCCAGACGAGAAACCGTGCAAAGCCAAACCGAAACCGAAAATGACCTTAAACTGATTCGGTTATTTTGGGTCAGTTTTTCCATCGTTTCAGTCAGGTTGGGTAGGTTTTGCGTTTGTGATTTTTGGGTCGGGTCGGTTTGGTTAAGCCATCTTGTGAAAAATCTGAAATACCCCCCCCCCCTCCCCCAAGTTCTTGCAGTGCAATATTATTGCAGAGTTACAAAAATGTACCGGTACTGTGCCCAATACAACCAACGTCAACCCCCCCCCCCCAAATGTGCAAGGGGTTGATAGTTTTTCACGTAGTCTATAACATATACTATTGTTAAAAGTGTGGATTCGGAACTACAAATCTGTTACGCTGGTCAAAAAGTGTGGATTTGGAATGACGAATCTTTAGTAAAGTGTGGATTCGGAAAATTTTACGAATCCACACTTTGAACACGTCTGACAATTGTTCTCCATAATGAGCATTAATCAGTCCGGTACATTGCCTAATCAGGGAACATTTAATTTGTCTCCAGATCAGGCAACACATTTCCAAAACAGGATACAAATCACAAATATCATATTTTGCTCATAATTTTTTAAGCACATTGAAAAAAAATATTTTTGAAGATAAAATATTTTCGATATCACTTATTGAACAAAATGAAAAAACAATTTTTTTAAATTATTAATTTTACATATATTTTTTTCAAAAAAGAATATTTCAAATTCTCATATTTTTAGTCTGCAACACCTCACCGCTTAGGCACTTTGTGAAATTATTCAGTCATTCATTAGACAAAAATACCATATTGTTGATTTATCGTTATATATCGTTATATAAAGATATCGATCATTAAAAATTGCAGGTCAAAACAGTCAGATGAAATTAAATTAATGTTTCCTGAACAGGAAGCACTCTTTTTTTTACATCACGGATGTTCCCTGTTTGGGAAACATTGTAAAGTGTCTCCAATTTTGGAGACATCTAATTGTTCCCTGTTCAGGCAACAGTTAAGGCATCTCCACTTCTGGAAACGCTTTAAATGTTTCCTGATTTGGGAACATTATTGATGTTTCCATAACTGGAGTCATCTGATTGTTTCTATTTTTGGAAACATGCCTGCCATGTTTCCTGTTTAGGAAACATGTATCTTCTTATGGAAACACTTTTAAATAATATAACATGATGTGTGATTAGGGTATTGTAATTAAACTTCAACAAAAAAGTTTTTGCTTCATTACAGTGTTGGAGTACTCGTACCCGAGTACAACTCGAGTACACTCAGTTACTCGGCCCATATTCGACTATCAGTACTCGAAAATTAGTTGGACTCGTACATGTACTTGATTCTTTGTACTCGAATTTTGGCACGGACTCGTTGGTTTGGACTCGGTACTCGACCCCAGTACTCGGGAGTACAAATCGAGTACATTTCTTTTTTTATCGATTCCATTGCAACCTAGAACTCAAGTCGTTACCAGTGAGACCATATAAGGATTTTTCCCAAGGTAGGATTTTGCTTGGGAATAATCCCGAAATGGTATTTCTGGTTTTATATAAATCTCAATCTAAATTTGTAGGGAGAAACGTTAGGACTGAGACTATCGATTGGGACTTTTAATACACTTCTTGATGGTTCATGTAAGCCTACACCAGTGCAGTTGATTCACAATATTACTGTAAACAGATCAAGGAATGATTAAAGCAGACGTGAGTGTGCTCTCTTTAAAATTAAAAGCTTTGAAGAAAAACTTTTAAACTCAGATCTTGACTTAATCAAAACAATGATTTTGTGTAATTATGCAAAACCTAAATTGAGTCGATGTTGATGAAGTAGGGGCGTTTGAATGTGTTAACATCATCTTACACTTTGTAATTAAGTGGAATCAGTTGATTTAAATGATTACAAAAAATCATTTGATTTAAATCCCGATTTAAATCAGTGATTTAAATCAACGTGATTTAAATCAGCCAACCCTGCTTTGTTATTTTTTTTCTTGTTTTTTCCCCCCCCTTTTTCCACTTTTTTTCCCATAGGATAACACATGTTTTCGTTCTACACAGGACTTTGGGACTTTTTTCGCATCCGATCGACTTAAAACCTGGCACACACTTAGACTACCAACTGAAGATTCAGCTTGAGGCCAAATCATAACGTCATCACGTGTCACGTGACGTCATCCTAAAATTGCATCCTTAACACCCTATATCTACAGAACCGGAAGTCCGATCGGGTTCAAACTTGGTATGCAGGTATTCCGGGAAGAGTTATGAACACAAATTGTTGTGACGTTACTATGACGTCATCATGTGATTTTTGAATTATTATTCAATTTTTGGACCTTTTACTCATATCTCATGAACGGAACAAGGTAAATTCGAAATTCTTTTTGTAGAAGGTTTGTTAGGTGAAAGATAGATCATGCACAAAATTTTGTAAAACGTGTGACGCCATCATGACATCATCAAAAACGTGATTTTTTGATTCACATATAAGGGTATGTCGGATTGTTGTGAAACTTGGTGGGTAGGTAGGCATTGATAAAAGCAAAATCTGCAGTGATGTCACCATGACCACATCATCTGATTTTTTTTTTAAATTTTAATTTTAAATTTTTTTATCAATTACCAAAAATTAGATAATATACGACCCGATCTAATTCAAACCTGGCATACACTTAAACCACCATCTGAAGATTCAGGCTGAACCATGATGTCATCATGATGTCATCAGGTGTCACGTGACGTAATCCTAAAATTGTGATTTTATCGTCATCATGTTATCTACGAATTATTCAATTTTTGGACCTTTAAGCCTCTCATCAATGGAATGTGCTAAATTCGAAATTCTATTTGTAATAGGTTTGTTAGGTCATAGATACAGACAATTTAGAATAATGTGTGACGTCATCATGACGTCATTTTTTTTTTTAACATCCGATAGACACTGAGAGTTAGACCACCATGTATAGAATACTCATGGAATTGTTCATTCAACTTGGATGAAACTCCTTTGCGGCAGTTATTGCTAAAACGGTCAAAATAGCTCAGTGTTTGTCCACAAACACATTTCTAGTTTTGTGTTACTTTCTTTTATTTATTTACTTGCCTATTTATTTATTTATTTATTTTTGTGTGTGTACTTTTTGGTATTGTACTCGGACTCGGACTTCGGTACTCGGACTCGGCCCAGTACTCCGCCTTGAATGTACTCGTACTCGGTGCTTTGCACTCGGACTCGTCACAGTGTACTTGGACTCGGCCCTGGACTAGGCCCCTAAAGTACTCGGAGAACTCGGTACTCGGCTTTGAGTACTCGACTCCAACACTGCTTCATTATAAAGATGATGGCACACTGAGTACTGTGACACTGCGTTCACATGCGGTACATGTAGTTAAAGGGGCATAGCTGTGTCCTAAAAAATCCATGAAATTTTCATGCTGTTGATTGTTCACTTAGTTCAAACATCTGGTTGATTTAGGAAACCAACCTGATGTCTTACCGTTCCCGAGAATAGATGGAAAATGTTTACATCGGACATGAGTCCAATGTACAAATACATTTTACCTGTCGTCTCAGTCAATGTTCGATACACGTTGTAAACATGTATGTCACTTAAGCACCAATGCACAAATGTGGTTTCTTACATTTCCGCAAAAGGCGAACACATCAAAACTGGCATGAACAGCCCGACTTTTTTGGGTCGCAAAAGTGGACCCTGAAAGTAGTTCTTACAAGCATTTACACAAAAATAAAACAGAAATGCCCCATTTTAAAAGGATAGTTGTGTGGATGTTTATATTCTACTTATTCTTTTCGATAATTAACAGCATATTCATTAAAGTACATTTTGTACATGTACATGTAGTTCAATTAGGCACAATCAGGAAACGTTTTGTTTCCAGATCTGGCAACATTTTTCCATAATGGGAAACAAATCACTTAAACTGTATAAAACTAATGTTAAATAAAACTGAAACATGTACCGGTATGAACAAAATAATGCATAAAAGTGGGAGTGATCTCCAATGTGAAAAAAACCTTT